AACCTAAGAGCGGTGGCTTTCGACCTAGAAGCAATGGCCTCCAACCTACTAGCAATGGCCGGGCCGCCAACCTAATAGCGATGGCCTCCAACCTAAGAAACACAAACAAGTGTCTTACCTCAATATCTGCACAGCACCTCTCCGTACTTCTCTCGACTCACCCTTTCTCTACTCCAACTGGCTCGGGGGGCCGAACTGCAAAGGCACCTGAAAAGTCAATGCCCGGAACATAGAGCCTTGAATCAAAGGCAACAAGTGTCAAAGTCTGCTGACTGATAATGGATAGCTCAAGCTCCCGATACTGGGCTATCAGCACGATGTCCTTGTCCTGGTTGGCAGCCTTGGTTTCAACATTGTTACTTCATGTCGTGCAGCCTGTTGCATTTGTAAGAGACGGACTCCGCTAACGCGCTCGAAGAACATTGGACCCTGCCGAAATGGCACCGGTCGTTGTGAGGGAATGAATGATACAAAGACTAGGAGTCACCAGGGGCCAATCGTTGGAGAATGCAAAGGGGTCTGAAAGCTACGCAGTGCACGGGTGACTATGCCCAACAATATAGAAAAGGCAGTGCTGTCGCTGTCTTTCTGCAGCATCCTCCAGCGAACGTGTTGGTGTCCTTCGCGGTGGCTGTATCAAAAACTACCAGCGGTAGGGGTGACAAAGAGTCGTTGCAGGCCTCTTGAGTGCGCGTCTCGTTGAGGGACCCCAAGACCCTGCCAATCTTGAGGCAAGTCTTGAACAAAGTCAACCCTCCCCAAAAAGCCAGCTGCTCAGCTCCACTTTGGAACACATACATCGCTTCATGTGTTTGCCGGGCTTTATCGTGCTGAGTGCTGGAAAACATATGTTTGATCCCATAACCGTACGTCTTCAGCTATCTCTGGATTCCCGGCTCCATGAACATCTCTGGCTCCGTAAAGACATTGCCTCGAACACGTTGCTTATTAAACATGGAAAGTAGAAAACATGGAAAGCAAGCACACTTGCGCTTCCCTGTATTGTTAGGGGTTCATGCTTCTGGGTTGTGCTCGCTGCTGGGCAGTAATTCTTTTTAACAAAATCCCAGCAAATGTACAGCTTGGCTGTATCTTAGTGCATGTAATTGACGGTCTGTAAAAAGTCTTTGCCTACAGCCGTTGTTATATAAATCGGAATTCCATGCGTGCCGCTTCATTTACCAAAATAAGATCTATGTATGAATCTTGTGAAAGCAATTGGACAAGCAAAATCCCGTCCAAAAATAAGAAGCGCCCCACGAAATTGCTAACGACCTTTCATCTCACTCCTTCAAAGAGTTACCGTTACTACATGCTAGAGTGGCTGCTGGAACTTTCTCCACAGGCGTCAACATAGCCACGTACTGAAAGTAAGGACATTCAATTTGGGCCACAAAGGGGGGAGCAACTCACAAAGGTCATCTGCGTGCACATTTTGCTAGCGGATTGCTAGCCACTACACTAGCGACAATCACACTGCACAAAACCAAAAATAATATGTGGAAACAAATCTGGAGACTATACAGTACCAATTACCACACCCAGTCGCTCTAACAAACCATGCGGTAAGACTACCCACAGCAGCAATCCCTTACAGCAATCTCAAAACATCTCAAAACTTGGGATACAAGTAGCACTGTCAGTAGGGCGTATTTTTCAAGAACAGCTCCAAAACAAGTCCGTTATTTTGATGCTGTTCATATGAAATGCTTTTAAAAACTAGCGCGTTTCTAGCGGATTTGCTAGCGCTGCCTTGCAGAATTGCTGATTTTAGCTGCGTGCCACTTCTTAAACACAAGCAAAAACATATACCGATGTGATTTATCAACTATCTAAACTAAAGTGGCTACTGTACACACTATATAATTGTGGCGATTGGTCACATATGTCAACATTATGTCAGGTCTGCCTTTTGTAGCTCACCAACACAATGAACAACAGAGAAGATTGCGGGCTTGGGTTGCGACCCTCTCGTCCGTCCAAGGCCTTTTCCTGACACCCGGAGAAGCGGCTTGCGGGCCGCTCTTGCTGCGAAGTTTGGGATCTCTCTCTCTCTCTCTCTTTTAGTAGTCCAGCTCAGTCCCAAGCCCAGGCATCACCTGGAGTAAGACAGCGGCTTGGCGTAAAGCGTTCAGCGTTTCAGCAAACCATGCAGAATGACAAAAGTCGGATTGACATTTCACCAGATTCTGACCACATTGTCCTGCATATGTCCATCTTAGCTAATTTGTGTATGGCGCAGAACCACTTCGTTCGAATGTGAGCTTCACAAGCTAGGATTGTTGGAGCGCCGCGCCAGTGGAAACAGTCTTGTCTGAAATATGTGCGAATAGCTTGCAGGGTCCAAACATCTACTCTTAGGTCCAACCCGCGTAAAAGTGCAGCTCAGTAGCTTAAAGTCTTTTCATCTTTAGCCTCCAGTTTCTTCTGGGCCACTTCTGGCGCCTTCAGCGCCATTCTTGTCGCCTGCGACCTCAAGTAATTACTGTTCGTCCAAACACGCTGCCATTCCACACCCTGCTTTCAGCATGCAAAAAACAAAGCTCTATGCCAAGCTCCCCTGGCAACTCCACTAGTGGAAGCAAGAAGAGATGTCCATTTCAGCGATGATCACTTTGTTAGTACAGGTTGAATTCCACACTTGATGGGAGGAGGGGTGGATGAAAGGTAGGCAGCAAGGACGCTGGGGGACGTTTGGTGAGGGAGTTGCCGATGTGCTTGTAACAATTAGTGTGTGTGTGTGTGACGGATCCAAAGGGGAGGTAGTCAAGAAGGAAACGAGCGGGAGGCCCGTCTGTCTGCCTCAATGTCTGTCCCACGCCACCAACAGCAGCAAATCCGCCGTAGCAGCAGCACAGCAGCCACAAACCAGCAGCACCAGCCCACTCACCAGCCCATAAGCAGCAAACCAGCACGAGACCGTCAGCAAGCCAGCAGCACCAGCTGCAGCAAGGCCGAAGCAGCAAAACCAGCAACAAGCAAAAGCATGAGGAGCCAGATAATTGCGACACAGAACACTCATGCAAGAGAGCGAGAGGTAGGAACATGCAGGAAGAAGAGCATGGGGCGGAGAAAAGAAGCTCAAAAAGCACCATGCCAAGGAGCGAGGAGGAAGATGGGTATAGACGGATGGATATATAATGAGAACAAGTGCGTGAAAGTGATTTGGACGAAGTATGACGAAGTAGTAGGTACGAAAGGTTGACAACCTAGATACGGTGCAGCCCGACCATGCCAGTACACAATTGAACGTACCAGAGAGAGGCTTGTACCCACTGTGGAATCCCCCCACGGCTAAACCTCTACATTATCAGTATATACTAAAATTTACTAAAATATTGAACTCAGGTAGCTGAAGCAATCGTTCGTGAAAATTCATCTCGGTTAGAGTTGGATAGAGCTAGATCCACATGTAGTTCTGAAGCTAATGTAGACTCTTGCTTAATAACTCCCCCATTTGAATTGAACAACCTCTTCTACCTCTCGCGCTCACACTGCAGTGAGACTTTGTCGGTGGCTTCCACCACTTTGACAAACGAATTGAACGGCCTCTTCATAAGGGGGGGGTCATTAATCAAGAGTCTACATTATTATATGAGCCTATTGAAAAATAGGTCAAATCTTGTTCTGCAAGCAACTACTTCTGCTTCAAACCACAAACATGTGTGACCAGCTCTCCCATAGTTGTCTTCACTGTTTGACATCAGTGAACGACTTTCCTTGCTCTTCAAGTTGCATGGAGATTGCCAAAAGCAAGGCTAACATGATATAGAATAACTAAAAAAACATGTGAAATTACAGTACATTAAATATCAACCAAAAACACCAGAACAAGAACAAAGACAACAACCGCAGCACCAGCAACAAACAACTAGTACTCTTCGTAGCGTTTCGAGTCACAGCTTGCTCAACATAAGCGCAAAAGCACACTTCGCAGAGTTAAACTCGAGTTGGTCATTCTGTAATCCAGGGCCGGAATATGGCGCTCGCGCACAATGCAAATGAGAGACCTCTTGCACACCAAAGCAGCAGCAGAAGCAGCTGCAAGCCGCCTGGGTGCACAAAGCCAATAGCTTTGGAACCATGATGTTGTGATATCCATGTATACCGTTTCCAGGTCCCCATTTCCAGTCAGATTTGATGGTGTAATTGATGTATTTTCGTTGCTGAATTCCGATACAAGTATGAATCAAGAGCGATCAAGAGTAAACAAGCCCGGCTTGAGACTTCCTACGGTGAATATATATATATATATTGATTTCGCGCTCGACCTTTCTCCGCATGTTCCAGCTGACCCTCCCGAAGTGCAGCAAGGATCGCCTCGAGAAGCCAAACACGCGGAGATCCATATAATTATATGTATTATACTGTATATATATATATGTGTGTGTGTGTGTGGGCTGTCCTAGTAAGTTCTAGATTCTAGTGTTTTATGATTGTTTTATGGCTCGCGTGCCAATCGGTCAACAATTTCTGAAAAGAAAGACGGCCCGTGTCTCTACAACTCTCTCTCTCTCTATGCAAGCAAGGGTGATGGAAATATAACAAACCATGCTTGCAAATTCATCAGTGCTCTGCAAAATTCCACTGCACTGCGTTTTGAGCCAGCAGTGTTCAGCTCAACAAGAAGTAACGAGGAATGGTCGTAGTAATTACCAGTCCAAGAAGCGCGGCCCCCAGCAACATGCGTTCCGTTGATGAAAAGCTGCGGAAGGCCCTAACAGGAGCTGGGCCATCAACATTTGGATCAAGAACAGGCTCTCGGTCTCTCAGTGATTCAACTTGTTGCTTGTGTAACTCCGGTGGTTTGAGGCCATTGCATGAATTACACGTACACTGCCCAAACTCAGTTGTCAAGCGGTCCAGTGGAAAAGTCAGTTCAGAGTATCAAAGCAGCACCCTACAAGTACCTTTCATGAACAAACCATTCCGATGTCCAATCCATTTGCAGTATCACATTTTATCACCATCCGATCTCGCGTGGTCACCTCCTCTCCAGAGATCTGCTTCGCGATCTTGCGGATTTCAGGATTTGCCTTCTGGTCGGTGCAATCGATGGCCTCCAATAGCCCCAGCTCAAACGAGCCAGCATGACACCCAAACAGCGCTATGATACGTAATGCAACGTTGAACATGATGACCTTATATGGCCGTTGGCAAGTTATTGGGGAATATCAAACTGGTCGTTTCACAAAAAGGCCGATGAAGCCCAAAACCGTCCAGAATGTTGAAATGCGTGCGTGCGCTGAAGAAGCCTCTATGGCATCCATGATGGTGGAATTATTATTCGAAATTTCGAAAGCATTCAACGGCCAGCTTCTTAGTGCCGTAGATAATAAAACCATCTTTTGAGGGGCCAAGCAGGATAAGTTCTTTGTGCAGTCGTTTAATGCTGTTTGCAGTCTCACCTTGAATGCCAGCCCCATGGAGTCCAGCTGCCGCACCACTTCCCGGCAAATGCGAGTCTTTGGCTCCTTCAAAGTGCCTTCCATGAAAAGCACCACTTCAAACTCCTGCAGGGAGCATCTCGTAGATGTTTCTAGTATCTTCTAGTGAACCCAATCGTGAGATTTGCTCTCTTCCCTGTTCATTGAACTCACACACACACACATAGAACTTCAGCCTCTGACCTATAGCGGGCATCCGTTGCTCGAAACTGTCGCCAATCCAACGTCTGCACTTGCTGCGTATGCTGTGTGTCACTGGATTCTTATTATCACGTGATAATCTTATGATCAGGATCGTTGACTGAGATTTGCCACCTTCTTCGCACATCCAGGTTCGCAAGTTTCACTGCACACTGCACAGCGGAATTGTGTTGCTGCTGGTGTGACACGACGGGGCTAGCCGGTCAGGTGTCATGTCACATAATTCGTGGCACGCAAAGCCGTGGTTGGCTGCGCGAGTGCAGGCTGTGCGTGGCGTAGGCACAAGCCACAGTGCGGTCGACTCAAATTCATTCATGCCTTCAAGTGCCCATCTCCTGTGGCGTCTCTATTCCGCCGCTCTGCGAGCGACAAAATTACTGCACTGGGCTCATGAGTAAACTGGGTCACGTTCCGGCTTCTCTCGTCCTTCAAGACTCCGCGGATAATATCAAGCATGGGCACCAAGTGCTCGCGGCCTCGGCTAATATGGAATCCTTGTCCGTCTCTGAAAGCTTACAGCGACAAGTTCATGAGCTCATTCATTGCGAGTAAGTGTCATGCTTTCTTGTGAGTGCAATTCTGTGGGGCCAAGTGTCGGCCGCCCTTAGTCAACTGCAGCATGCCGCGGCTTCGGTCTGGCACAGCCCAGCGCCGCACCTTGCAAATCTTCTAGAGGTCAACGCTCTAAAGGCTGTACTGTACAAATCTCTATTTGCAGTGCCGGTGCTATGATGCCGTGCTACGTCTAAAAGCGATTCAAATGCACGCCCAAACACACTCAAACTGTTCTTTGGCTGATCTGTCGCTGCCCCATCTGTTTCCATGCCTTGAAGGTCAAAGGTAGTTTCTTCCGGAGCAATGCCCGCTGTACGGCTTTTTGGATTGCTTTATTCGAGCGAACCTTCCAGAAGGAACATGGTGATGAACGGGCAAAAGGCTACGCATTTGCTTGATACTTGGCTTGATGATGTTCCAAGGATAGACGACAAAAGCCAAAGCATGCTGAAGCCACTGCTTCAAGCATCTCTTAAAGTATATACCTTGTGGCTTGAATTGCAACTGTCGTCAAATGGAAGCGTTGCCATGCTTTGCCATGCGCCTGCTTGCCATCCACCTCCAGGATCACATCTCCCACGCGCCAACCGGCATTGAATGCCTCCTTCACCACAACGCGGCTCACTTTCCGTTGGTTGTGTACCAAATTGATGCCTGCAGTCAAACAACAACAATTCTGGCGGGGCTTCAGGGTAGTGCAGCTCATGGTTTCGCGGCAAGCTTGCCAGTCTCGTTGCTGACATGCGCACTGGGCCACGGTTTATCTGGAAAGGAAATTGATGGAAATTATGCGTTCCCACATCCCAAGCCCTTGCCCTTCGCGCAGTCATTGATAGTACCAACAGGATCCGCTAGCAACAAATCTGTTACTCTCTTGGCTGCTTCTTCCCACCAGGACACGCCTAAGCGAGATTTTGGAAGGTTCTCCATGACGATGATAGCCTCAAAGATAAAGGAGCACGAAACATCGTCTGTCCTCTTCTCCTTTTTGCAGAAATCTTGAAGCTGCTTGGTCTTCTACAATTCAAACCTATCATGCACTTGGGGCCCAGAGGGGGGGTGGCGAAAGCTAGGCAAATAAACAATGCTGGGGCTCTTTAGGCAGCAAAAGCCAGGCCGGGAATCGCAACATGCCATGGCCAAGGGAAAAGGAGAGTGCCAACAGCGCCCCCCCAATACGACCCCAACACAGCCAACACATGGCAACACACAACCACCCCAGCAACAGCCGCAGCAGCAGCAGCAACAGCCACAACAACAATAACTGTAACCAGCAGCGGCAGCGGCAGCAAGCAGAAGCTACCAAGCAGCAGCAGAAGCAGCAGCAGGAGTAGCTAGCAAGCAGCAGCACCAGCTACCAAGCAGCAGCAGCAGGAGCAGCTGCTACCAAGCAGCAGCTGCTACCAAGCAGCAGCAGCAACAGCTACCAAGCAACAGCAGCAGCAGCTACCAAGCAGCAGCAGCAGCAGCAGCTACCAAGCAACAGCAGCATCAGCTACCAAGCAGCAGCCGCAGTAGCAGCAGCAGCAGCTACCAAGCAGCAGCAGCATCAGCAGGAGCCACCAAGCAGCAGCAGCATCAGCAGCAGCTACCAAGCAGCAGCAGCAGCCAAGAAGCAGCCAAGCAGCAGCAGCAGCCAAGCAGCAGCAAAGCAGCAGCAGCAAAGCAGCAGCAGCAAAGCAGCAG